AGGAAGGCTCTTGGGGGAGTTAGGGCCAAGGTTTCTGTCTCTGCTGAGGCAGAAACCATCAAGAGACAAGACTGACAAGAGTGGAGATTCTGAGGCCCTTTCAATACGTCTTAAGCCAATGAGCGACGTCTGTCCTGAGTGAGGGAGAGGTATGGGTCAGCTCCAAGCAGGGGAAAAAGCAACAGCTATGGAGGCCAGGGAACCACAGAAGTGGCTGTGGTTAGAAGGGGCATAGGGAGAGGACAGCCAATGCAGCTATGCACAAATATGTACTGAGCTCCACGACTCCGCCCACTACGCGGAGAGCTCTAAGGGTGTGGTGAATAAAGAATCTAGTAACCATGGGCCCTGGGTAGTGTAGGGACTCTTGGGAGAGAGCAGAGGAAACACTACCTATGAGGATGACATTTTGGCCAATGGCACACAAGCAGATGACCTTGCAGATGTCACCTGTTAGCAGACAAGTTGGGGTGACTAAGACCATGCATGAGTGGGGTGGAGGAAGCACAGGTCTTGGAATGAAACACTGAGGATAGATCCTGTCTCTGCCCTTGCTGGTGACTTAAGGGTTAGTGGTTATTTATTCATTTTTCCTGGGGTGGGGGTGTTGTCTCTTATTTATTAAAATTAATGATTGTGCTTTTAAGAATATACTTTCTATAATATACATAGAAAATAGCTCCCCACTTTTTTACTTGCCTTTTTACTTTGTGTGCATTTTTTTTTAATTTTTAGAAATGTTTATTTATTCTTAAGAGACAGAGACGGAGCATGAGTGAGGGAGGAGCAGAAAGAGAGGGAGACACAGAATCTGAAGCAGGTTCCAGGCTCTGAGCTGTCAGCACAGAGCCCGTCGCAGGCCAAACCTACCAGCAGTGAGATCATGACCTGAGCCAAAGTCGGATGCCCAACCGACTGAGCCAGCCAGGCACCCCATCAATTTTTTTCTTTAATAGAAGAATTTTTAAATTTAAATTTATTAGACCAATTTTCTTTTCCTTTATTGTTGCTTCCATTGCTTTTTACTTAGGCCACCCTATCTCAAGATCAAATAACTACTGGGCTGTGTTTTATTCTGCTTGCTTTATAGTTGTATCTATATAAAATGCTTTAACCACCTGAAATTTTTTTGGTAAATACTGGGAGGTGTGAATCTAAATTCACTACCCCCGTGGAGTCACAAGCCTGCCTGCAGAACCATCTGTTAAGTCTCCCTTTTGTTTCTTACCAATTGGCACTGCCAACTTTAGCAGACCAAATTCTGATCTCTATGGTGCTGTTTCTGGGCTTTCTGGTTTTTTCCTTTGATGGATATTTGTAATGAGGAGAGGGAGCAGTCTGCAACACACCCTGCAGTATCTGTATAAAAGAGAAAGAAGGTGTGGTGAGAAATATGCATGGTCAGAGAGAATAAGATACAAATGCCACTACTGCCAGGTGCACGGTGATTCCAGTGGGTGAAGCTAGGGCTGACGAATTCACAGGACAGGCTCAGCTGCGGAGGGAAAATGAAGCATGGTGGAAAACTGATTCTGTGATTTAATTCCTCTGATAAAACTTTGTTCCATTCCCAGGATTTTACCTAGAAAGAGCTTTGTTTGACATCTTTATGTTTCTGTTACCATGTTTCCTACATATTCCTATGACCAGGACTTTATTAACTCAAAGCTATGTGTAAAACTAGTAATAAAAATGTATAGGCTGTTCCCTCCACCTGATATTATGTCTATCTAATCTCCCTTTCAGTTCTTTGTACTCTTTGAGATTTATTGATGCACATGATAGATACTTACTGAGTACCCATCTCCTATCAGACTCAGGGCTAATGCACATTTCCAAGATGAAAAAGATAGACATTTTCTTGGGCTTCTCTCAAAGATACAGTAGAACAGGGGCACCTGGGTGGCTTAGTCAGTTAAGCGTCCGACTTTCGCTTAGGTCATGATCTCGCGGGTCGTGGGTTCGAGCCCCCCATCGGGCTCTGTGCTGACTACCAGCTCAGAGCCTGGAGCCTATTTCAGAGTCTGTATCTCCCTCTCTCTCTGACCCTCCCCTGCTCACGCTGTCTCTCTCTCTCCTAGAAATAAATAAAAATATTTAAAAAAAAAAAACAAACAAAGATACAGTAGAACAGAGAACACAGACAAGTCAATAGCTGGTCACAATCTAGAGCGACACGTGCTGTGATGGGGGAGGCACAAGCCAGACGGGTATGAACCTGAGTTTGTTGTAAAAAGGATACATCAGGAAAGTCTTCCCCAAAGAAGACTAGTGAATGGATAAAGAGGATGTGGTGTGTGTGTGTGTGTGTGCGTGCGTGTGTGTGCGTGTGCATGTGTGTGTGTGTTGGAATATTATTCAGCCATCAAAAAGAATGAAATCTTGTCATTTCCAACAATATGGCTGGAGCTAGAGTCTATTACATTAAACGAAATAAGTCTGAGAAAGTCTCATAAGATTTCACGCATATGTGGAATTTAAGAAACAAAACAGATGAACATGTGGGAAGGAAAAAAAAAAAAAGAGCAAGGGGGAAGCAAGCCATGAGTGACTCTCAATTATAGAGAACAGATTGAGGGTTGATAGAAGGAGGTGGGTAGGGGGTGGGCTAAATGGGTAATGGGTATTAAGGAGGGCACTCGTGAGGAGTTCCAGACATTATATGTAAGTGATGAGTCACTAAATTATATGCCTGAAACCAATTTTTACCATATGTGTTCACTAGAATTTAAGTTAAAACTTGAAAAGAAAGAAAAATGACATCTAAGCTGAAACCTGAAGGAAGACTATTCCAGTACGAGAAAATAATATGGGCAAAAGCCCAAAGGTGAAAAAGTATCTAGATCTTCTAAATAATTGTAAGTATAAGTGGTGCATAGGATGTAGAATGGAGAGGGAAGCCCATGAGTCAATGGAGACATCTATAGTAAATACCAGTATTTCAAGGGTCTTCGGGCCACATGAAGAAGTGTAGAGTTTATCCTGAAAGTAACCAGAAACCCTGAAGGATTTTTCAGGTAGAGAGACAAAATCAGTTATGGTTTGTAGAAAGCCCATTCTCTCTGGAGTGAAACCAGAGAGCAGGTGGCTATGCCTATAGGAAGAATGACTGCCCATATATAAGTGATAAATGAATGTCCTGAATGAAGGTAATGGCTGCTGGAACTGAAGACAGTGGATAAATAAAGAGAAATGGGTAAGTTTTAGTTATACTGACAAAGTAAAATCACCAAGATTTGGTGGTATTTGGATGCATATGAGGAGGTAGAAAAATGGGTCTATAATGACACCCAGATTTCTCACCAGACCAGCTGGTGGTGTTAATGATTTCAGCATTAGATATGCTTTTCACCAATTCCAACCCCTTTTTTTTTTACAATAGTCACGCTTTTCAAAATATTGGGGAAATATGGTAAAGATTTATTTGACCTGTGAAATCTTTGGATGGATTAATGTCATAATGTCCACATGAGTACCACAAGAGTTTTATGAAGTTTTATGAAGAAACAACTCCAACCCAGCTTCAAACTATATGTATTGGTATACACTTACAGTATTGTTGGTCAAGTTATATATTTAAATGAATGGTTTTAAGATGCAGTTGTAATGCATGATTCATCCTATTACATGCAAACACTTCATGACATATTATGATTTGTGTTGTGTGAATGTGTGGGTTGCATGTTTTACTTTGGTTGCTCTTTGAATCCATGAAGCTAAAGAAAAAAAGATAAATCATGCACTCAAATAAGAGCTGGTCACGTATCCACACCTAGATGTCAGTTTGGCTAGGAAAGTAGTCTTAGCTAGGAAGTCACTTTCCAGAACAACTTCATATTAAGGATTAAAGGGACGTACGAATTTTGTTAGTACAATAGCTATTTTGCCACAGCCCATGTTCAAGTCTTTTCCTGCAATGTGCTGGTAATTGCAATTTCAGAACTTTTTAGATAGCTATTCCATTAGTTCCACACTTGACATGACTCCTCCATACTAGTGAACACCATGTAATTTTTCATAAATTCCACAAATTCATTGATCATTTATTATGTGTCATCAAGCATGTATCAAGCCAGGTATCTAAAGGTGAACAGTATTTGCATCAGGATGTCCAAGAATTTACAGTCTAGCAAAGGAGATGGTAAACTTGCTATGAATGGTCAGGTTGTAACTATTTTAGGTTTTGTGGGGTCACGTATGCACTTTGTTGCATCTTCTTCTTTGCTTTAAGCCTTGTGGGTTTTGTGGGGCTTTTTTTTTTTTTTTTTACCACCTTTAAAAATTTTAAATACATTCTTAGCTTTGGGTCCATGCCAAAAAAAAATGTGTGAGGAGGATTTGGCTCTGGTTTTCTAGTTTTCTGACTCCTGGTCTAGTTAACACATTTAAAGAAAGGCAAGACTGGAAAACATGCACAGAAATTTGGAGACAATGATTCACTAAATGCTACTCACCGCTTAAGAACAAGCAAAGACAGGGGCGCCTGGGTGGCTTAGTCGGTTAAGCGTCCAACTTTCGCTTAGGTCATGATCTCGCGGTTCGTGGGTTCGGGCCCCGCGTCGGGCTCTGTGCTGACTGACAGCTCAGAGCCTGGAGCCTGTTTCAGTCTGTGACTCCCTCTCTCTCTGACCCTCCCCTGCTCACGCTGTCTCTCTCTCCTGGAAATAAATAATAAAAAAAAAACATTAAAAAAAAAAAAAAGAACAAGCAAAGACAGGCTTTTGTTTATATTTGATAAGTTTTTAAAATAGTTCATTATGGAGGTCAAAGCTTTAAATCATTAATAAAAAAGCACGTAACTTAAAATACTTTTAGAAAACAAAGTATACGTATTGGATTCATGCTTATATAATAAACTTTTTAAAAAGAAAACTCTCACCTCGTTGCAAACAAATCTTTGGTATCCCATGGCAGACAGCACAGGCATTTGCAAATATTCACTTGAACTATATGGAACTGCAGTTTTTGTGGGTCCTACGCAGTTAAGTACTGGATATTTCATGATTCCACCTCACACTAGAAGATCAACATTGGACTACGGCAAAATTTTCAGAGGGCTTACCAATTTCATTCCATTAACCCAACTTTCTGCTTACAGACAAATGGGGTGGGAAAACCTGACCAGCGTCTCAGAATTTTTCCTCCTCGGGCTTTCCGAGCAGCCAGAGCAGCAGGAAGTCCTCTCTGGGCTGTTTCTGTTCATGTACCTGGTCACAGTGGGAGGCAACCTCCTCATCATTCTGGCCATCATTGCTGACGCTCACCTCCACACGCCCATGTACTTCTTCCTGGCCAACCTCTCTCTTGCTGATTCCTGCTTTGTGTCCACCACAGTCCCCAAGATGTTGGCAAACATATGGATCCAGAATCAGACCATCTCATATGCAGGGTGTCTATCGCAACTGTATTTTTTCATGCTGTTCGTGATGCTAGAGGCATTCCTCTTGGCTGTCATGGCCTACGACCGCTATGTGGCCATATGCTACCCACTCCATTACATCATGGTTATGAGCCCTGGGCTCTGTGTCCTCCTAGTTTCTGCATCCTGGATTATGAATGCCCTCCACTCCCTCCTACACACACTGTTGATGAACAATCTGTCCTTCTGTGCAGAACGCAAGATCCCACACTTCTTCTGTGACATCAACCCGCTTCTGAGTCTGTCCTGCACAGATCCCTTCATTAATGAGCTGGTGATTTTCACTATCGGGGGACTTGCAGGACTGGTTTGTGTGCTTTGCTTCATTATCTCTTATGCACGTATTTTCTCAACAATCCTGAAGATCCCTTCAATTCAGGGGAAGCGGAAAGCCTTTTCCACCTGCAGCTCTCATCTCTCTGTGGTTTCTCTATTCTTTGGGACTTCCTTTTGTGTTTATTTCAGTCCTCCCTCAACCCGCTCGGCACAGAAGGGCACAGTTGCATCAGTGATGTACACAGTAGTAACCCCACTGCTGAATCCCTTTATCTATAGTTTAAGGAACAGAGACATCAAGTCTTCCTTGAGAAAGCTAATTTGGGTTAGCAAAATCCATTCCCCTTAGCAGTAGTGACTTCACATCCAATATGGGGATCTCCACTTAATTGCATTCACCATAATTAAGCAATAAAGAATGAGAGAAAATGGAGACCTCGCTTCCAGGACCTGTGATCTGAACTTGAGATCTTCATGTCTAACCTACAAGACTTTCTCAGAACGTAGCCATAATCAGGCCAATATCGTTAGCTTAATATCTTATAGTCATAGTGCTCTAAAATCACAGCAATTCAGATTTATAGTATAATAAAAAATGTGCTTGAATACTTTTGAAACAACATGAAATACCTCATGACCAAAATAAGGAAATATTGTATGTGTCCAAGAATAAACTCCAGGGAAAGATAACTTTCCCCCACCATCACTGTGACCTTGGTGACTTGGATTCTTACCAACAGTGTTTTTGACACTGGGAATCCCCATATCTGTGAAGTCCTCATGCTGAGATAATAGAAACTGGGACTGGAAAGGAGGGGTTTGATGGGGGTGGAGTCCTTAGGTAGACCTACCATAACATTTTACCAGGCATCCAAGACCCCCATCCCTCTTAACATCTTAAATTACATGTGAAAATTTAATTTTATCTTTGGGGAGACTTTTTCTAAGTCAATTTCAACTTTGCTATACCAATGTTTACCATTTAATATAATGCCTGGCACCATTAATATGTGCTAAACCCCACTGGCATGGTTGCAATCATAAAGTTAGGGGCCAGGAAACAATGATTTTATGGATAGTTCGTGGTCTCTTAGCTGAATGACTGAACCCCCTTCCTAGATGTTCCTCAGTCCCCAGTTTCTCCCCATTCCATCTATTCTGCACACCATAATCAGATTAACCTTCATTGAATACGACTACCACCCTATTAGAAATCTCCAGTGGCCTTATAGTGCCTGCAGAATAAAGTTCAAACTTACTTACTGTAGCATTCAGAACCATCTTCACCAGTTCATAACAAATATGGTTTGCAGCCTACACTCTTCTATATTGCCCCCAAGATCAACTCAGGCTAATATTTTCATAACATATTGATTATTGTTGAAATTTACCAAAATGGACTTGGAAAGCTAAGTCACCAAAAGTTTTGACAAATACATGTACAATAAGGTATACTGTAACCAATTAGATTCCATAAGAAAATAAAAAGCTACTATGGGGTACTATTTTTTTATTCTTACCTATTTCCCTTCAGGTATCTGGCTGCATGCCTAATGACATAGGCTATGATTACTATAAATAATATCTCCTCTAGTAGAAGTCAATTTTTGATGGCCAGCTCCCCTGATTCCCATTTATCTTACAGTAAGCTCACATACTATCTTCTGACAATAAAAGCAATACCACTTGCTGTAGTACAGCAAAGTGGTAAACATTGGCTCTACAGTCAGACAGACTGCCTCAAGTTCAAATCTTAGCTCTGCTGCTTGTAAGCTGTGTGACCCTGGGAAATTACCTAACCCTTCAAAGCAGCTATAAACTACCTTTTGTATTGTCAGGAGGTTTAAAAATGGTAATGTATCGGGGCAACTGGGTGGCTCAGTCGGTTAAGAGTCCGGCTTCGGCTCAGGTCATGATCTCATGGCTTGTGGGTTCGAGCCCCGCGTCGGGCTCTGTGCTGACAGCTCAGAGCCTGGAGCCTGTTTCAGATTCTGTCTCCCTCTCTCTCTGAGCCTCCCCTGCTAATGCTGTCTCTATCTCTCTCTCAAAAATAAATAAAACATTAAAAAAATTTTTAAAATGGTAATGTATGTAAAGCATTGTTTGTGATAATTAAGTGAGATATTCATGTAAGTATAAAGGGTGAATGCCTAGTACAGAGTTGTTTTTTCTTTTCCAAAGTAGTCTCCACACCCAACATAGGACCTGAATGTGATGACTCTGAGATTAAGAGTCACATGCTTTACCGACTGAGCCAGCAAGATGCCTAGGATATAATATGTTTCCAATGAATGTTAGCTGTGGGAGTAGTCCTTGTTAAAATTAAAGCTGAATAGCAGTAGATAATGCAAATTCACTCACAAGCACTTAGAGAATCGCCTATGACCTGCTCTGTGAAACTAGATGGGAACCTGTGCTTCAATCATTCTTTCTAAGAACATTTGGGATTTAATGTAGAATCAACTACTTATGGGGATTCACGTGCAGGGATGATTTCAGTCTACCTTTGAAATCATGTTTACCGGGTACTTCAACTTAAAGTAAAAATTTACCATTAACTTAAAATACACAAGTTTGTACTGTTTTATACTGTATCCTAATTCATTGACAGACATACATCTTCCACTGCTTAAATGAATATTCACCAATATTTTTAGTTCTACCTTTTAACTTAAATTATGTTACTCTTCCACATTTATATTTTGTATGTGAACGTCTTTGTAACAACACAGTTTACACATTTGTCATAATTATACCTTTTGACCTCAACACACCCTCACACACGGTTTTGTCACAGGTGCCCTACTATGCTGTTTGCAGGTTAATTCAAATGTTTGAATATTAAAAAATATCATTTCAACAAGCATTACTTTTTCATATGATTTACTCTCTTAACCCTACATTCTTAAAAATAAATGCATCCGCATGTTCATATGGATAGTTTTAAAGCTCTGCTCTATACTGCCAACTGGTCCTGAAACTCTGTCTATCCATCATCTCACCAATACTGTTCCACTATTGTTATTCACTTTACTAGCTTAGTAAATATGTAATAACATCATATAACTGTGGGTTTGGATTATTCTTCTCCTGTAAATATTGAGATCTGAGAATTATTTAATAAAAGGCAACAAACACATAAGAATAAATCTAGCAAAGATGTGGAAGACTTCTATTCTGAAGATTACACCACATTATTATTTGTTTAAAGCAAGTAAGTGTCTGTTAACCCCTTGTATTTCTTCTTTGGAAAAATGTCTAGTCGTGTCCTCTGCCAATTTTTAAACTGGATTATTTATTTTTGAATAATAAGTTTTAAAGTTCTTTATATATTTTGATACTAACCCATTTACAAATATCTTTTCCCATTCTGTCAGTTGCCTTTGTCTTTTAGATTGTTTTCTTCACTGTGCAGAAGCTTTTTATTTTGATAAGGTCCCAATAGTTTATTTTTGCTTTTGTTTCCCTTGCCTCGGAGACATATATCAAAAAAATTTGCTATGGTCAATATCAAAGAGGTTACTGCCTGTGTTCCCTTCTAGGATTTTGGTGGTTTCCTGTCTTACATTTAGGTCTTATGAACACAGAGGTGTAAAAAAAAGAGGCAAACCAAAAAAACAGACTCTTAACTATAGAGAACAAACTGATGGTTCCTCGAGGGGAGATATGCAGGGGGAAGGATTTAATAGGTGATGTGTATTAAGGAAGGCACTTGTGATAACCACCGGGTGTTGTGTGTTAAGTGATGAATCACTAAATTCTACAACTGAAACAAATATTACACTGTATGTCAACTAACTAGAATTTAAATAAAATTTGGTGAAAGAAAAATAATACTAATTAAAAGAATAATAAATAAAAATAAAGTAAGCCCAAAGAATGGAGAAATACAGTTTTAATAACTGTTCAAGATTTAGATGGATATCCACACTTATGGGGGGAAAAATATATATACATATCTTGACTTCTACCTCACCAGATATTATAATCAATTCTAGATTAACAACAGATCTAAATGTTAAAGTAACAAATCACTTAGCATAAGTATAGATGCCCAAGAAGAATGTGTAGCTACACTATTCACAACAGCCAGAAATAGAAACAATTAGTGCTCATCAAGGTAGAATGGATTTTTTTCAATGGTATAAGTCACACCATAGAGCATTATATAGCAATGAGCAATCTATAACCATACTCAACAATATGGATGAACCTCTTATATAGTGCTAAGTAAAAGAAACAGACACAAAAGAGTACAAACTACATGCTTTCACTTACATAAAGTACAAATACGAGCAAAACTAAGTTATGCTATTAGGAGTGGCTACTCTTTGCAGAAACAGTGACTGCAAGAGAGCATGAGGTGTGCAAAGTGCTCACAATGTGTTTTTTTATGCGAGTTCTGGTTATTCATATTTTGTCAGTTTGTCAAAATTCCTACCGAAATTTTCAAATATTGGTAAATGAGGTTCATTTCCCAAGATCCTTTCTAATAGATATTAGCATTGAAGCAATTATCCAGGTTCACCTCAACAAACTGTCATGGGATTGCTTCCCCAAGGCCTCTCCACAACAGATAAGTAGGCCCGATGTGCTCCCGGTACACCCTCTTTTTTCATGAACCTGAGACTCGAGCTTCAATTCCCAGATGCCAAATCGTCATCAGAGCAAGCACCCACAACCTTCCAAACTGTCTCCTCTTTTACAGAGACTGAAGATCCAGGCACCAGGATCCTCCTTCCCACTTCAGCCAGCTGGACAAATTGCCAAGTCCTACTCAGAAAGCAATGTTTTAGGGTCCTTTATGTCTTGATTGAATTTATACCCTATGTAAGAGGAAACGAGGCAGCAGAACCAGAAAATTCTGAGAGCAGCACAGAACAGTGGGTAAGGTCTGCATGTCACAGGTTCCCGTTCTCTCTTTTTTCTCCTTTCTTATCTTCCTTTTCTCTATTTTCTCTCTTACAAACAGACTCACAAACATTGACAGAGTCTTCATATAATCAAACCCCTTAGTGTTTAAAGGTAATTAATAGCCCCTACAATCTTTTCAGTGCTCTACAGCTTTCAAAGTGCTGTCATATGGTCCATTGCATGTGATTCCCAAGCCTGCAAGAAAGGCTTCACGGGTGGGATTAGGGGGCTCAGGAGGGCTGCGTGCCCTCCTCAAGGTCCTGCAGCTAGGGAGCAACAGAAGAGGTACCAAAGGATGGTTCTCCAACATCCAGTATGGACTACTTTTCCATACCACCCCTACACATTCCCCCTCCCCACAGAGCTATACTGGAAAGGGGTTTGTGTCTCTGAGGCCAGCTGACCACACAAGTGGTCAGAACCCACTGACTTAGA